GCCTCAGTTTCCCCATCAGTAGAATGGGTTTGATGAGACTTAACTACCTCCTATGGCAGCTGTGAGATGGGAGGGGGGCGTTTTGATCCTCTCCGCATGCCCCACCCATAATGAAACATAAAAAGGTGTTAAGCCTTTAATTCAGGCTGGCTGGTATGTTAAAATTTCCAAGGCCGGGAGAAATGGCTGTGATCCTCTGGTCTGACCTCGTGTCTAGCAAGGCGTGGAAGGATTCCCTTTTTTTATTGGCAAACATCGGTGCAGGTCGATTTTGCCGCACGTGCCAAAACCAATGAAAAAATACTTCTAGCGATCGCAATCGAAATGGACAGGGTGGCAAAGAAAGAAGAATGCTGCGTGAGAACTGAGTATATTTTGGGCATGTGACGTAGACAGCTGGTGTTTTAATGCTCGTGAAGCTTTTAACTTCTTGAATCTCAACCTCTGCTGTCATTAAATAAGTCTGCCGTAAGAACGGCCATACTGGGTCAGACCAAAGGTCCATCTAGCCCAGTATCCTGTCTTCCGACGGTGGCCATTGATGGACTATCCTCCTGCCCCCCATCCCATTGTCTGATTTTCCCCCCTCCATAATTTCCCACAACTGTGAACATTTAAATTATTAACAATTGAAAAAAGGCTTTAAAATAGCCACCAATAATATCTGTTGAAATTATACAAGAAATAAAAGTGGAATTCTGCCCAGCCTATGTCTAACCCAGGCCAGGGTACTTCCCCGAAGCAATTCCTGTTTGAACCAGGGCAGATCTTTTTGGGAAAAAATCCAGTTTTCATCTAAAAATTGCCCACACTGCGGCTAAAGGCTAGTCTGCCCTTGAAAGTGAGTTTGGATTCCCTTGAGTTTTCCCATGATAAGCTACCTTGCACCCAGACCCGTAAGTTTTCCTGTTATCTCATTCCACGTTAATTAATCCCCATTGGACGCAGCTTAATTCCCGTTTGGAACCGTGTATCCAGCAATAAGCCAGACCTAATGATTGTCCGCTCCTTGGGGCAGGGACCGTTTGTCCTGTGAACGTACAGCGCCTGGCACCATAGGGACCTGGGCCGTGATGAGTGCCTGGGCGCTACCGTAATATATCTAATAGCAATAAAAATGTGCAGCGCCTGGCACAGTGGGGGGCCTGGCTTATGCCTGGGGCGCTTGGGTGTTACCATAATACACCTAATAGCAATAAAGATATACTACACAGCGGTTACCAGCTTTGCCCGTTACTTTGGGGTATGCTCATTTATTAGGGTTACTCTTTTTGGGGGGGGGTCTGTATTTCTCTCAATGTACTGCGTGTCACTTGTGTCCTCATGCGGCGCTCTACTTCTCCCTGCTGCAGGTTCCCTCCCAATGGAGCAATCCTGCAGGAGCTCGGTTCCCCAGGGCTGGGTGCCTCCAGCCCCAGAATCAGACGAACACACACACGTTAACAGAGATTGTCTGAGAGAACCGGGTCAATCAGCTGACCCCTTATCTGCCCCTAGACTCAACAGGCTGGATCGAACAGCACCTCCAAGCTGTCACCTTCATATATCCCAGGTTCAGCAAGTCCCTGTCCCCACTTTCCCATTGCAATTGTTCTGGTCGGAACCCACTTGATGAGCAAACCCCACAGGATTTTTGGGCGCTGCGGGGATCTTTCAGCTTAGGTACGAGGAGCGATGCTGCAGCGCGAATGAGGAAAGGTGGGATTTGGATCAACACAAAACACAGACTGTTCCCCTGCAGACGGAGATCAGGCTTGGGAGATTTCGGGGTGACGGGTGACCTTATGAACAGGCTGTCCTGCGAGGGCCCAGGACGCAAAGCCTCATGATTCAACAAAATGCTTCCGCCTCTGGGGCAGAGCATGGCGGCTGGTGGATGGTGAAGCGGTGCAAGGATTTAAGCTGTGATGTGCAGAAGAAACGCATGCTCGGTGGACCTTTGTAGAGGCCTTGGGGATTTTGAGAAGACAGGATGGAATTTGGATGCTGGAATCTTTCTCCTTTGGGGAGGAAAGCGGCTTGGAAGATGCTGTGACTCCATGATTCATTTAGGTCGGCTTAACCACGTCGCTCAGCGGTGTGAAAAACTCTGACGCTGCTGCCCAGAGTTCACAGCCCCTCAACCCACCCACCCCTAAATCCCCAGCGTGTTTTGAATACGCTTCTCTTCCCGCTAGCCCACCTTTGCAACCAGACAGGGCTGGCTCCGCTCCACCTACCACTACTCGGCCAGGAAAGTCCTAGATTGGATCGCGGAAGCCCAGCTATGGAATAACTGCATGTTTATTCCGGTCTTGTAAAGGAGATGCGGGCAAAGGGGAAGGAGCTGTGGCCGTCCTACCAAAAGGCAAAGGAGACCAGCGGAAAATCTGGAGCTGCCTCCCACCCCTGCGGCTACTGTGCGGCGCTGCGTGCCATGGATATATTCAAGAGCTCATCGAGGTCTGTCTACGCGGCATTGTAAACCTGGATCCGCGGGACCCGGGCTTGTGGGCGTGGGGTTTTCCAAGCCCGCTCGGGAGCGTCTGCACTGCGTTTACAGCCGTTGGATCCGGGATCTCACAGCTGTTGTAATGCGTCCGTACGGCGCTACGCAGCCCTTCTACCGCGGGGCAGCGGCTTGCGTCCGCAGTGCAAAATAACGGCTTGGATCCGCGTCTAAGCAGGACCTGGGCTCTGACCCCCACCGTCCCCAGCGGGGTCCTAGGGCATGGGTCCTGTGTGCACTGTGGACGGAAAGGGGCTTGGGCTCAACTCTGTGGCAGCGCCAGGACTTCATGTGTGGTGCAAACGTCCCCTCTGAAAGAAGCCGGCAAGGTGACTTGATCACAGTGCCTAAGACCGTGGTTCTCGGCCAACGGGCTGCTTGCAGCCCAATCAACACAACTGCAGCCCATGGGACATCCTCAGGGCCATAAGGCAGTATGTATCTTGTGTGGCCACAGCCCACATTACACAGAGAGAGCTGCATGGGCGGCCCACAATGGTCAATAGGTGGAGAACCACTGGTTTAAGATCTTCGCAGGAAGAAGATACCAGGTACTAACGGGATCTTTTAATCTAGAGGAGAAAGGCCGAATAATAAGTTTAAATCTGGACAAATTCAAACTGGAAACCGGGCACCGATTTTTAACCGCGCAGGGGACTAACCAAGGGAACCAACACCCCAGGGCAGTGGTGGATTTTCCTTCTCTTGATGGCTTCACATCAAGTGGTGACCCAGGAGTCAGACTCGCCGATCCGACCTTTAAACGCCATGATCTCCTTTGGCACCTGTTGGAGGAACTGGTTTTTCCCCTGCTGCCTCTCAGGTAATTAAAACACAACCCCCCTCAGGATTTTGCTGGGGGCGAAGACTGTCTCTTTTGGCTCGTCCTGGCCACCGCCGCCCGAGATTAGCAGCTAATCGGGTGTCGTTACGGGACGCTGGGCACCGTGAGTCACCTGGTCGCTCGGGCAGATCCGCCCGCCTGGCAACAGTTGGAGTTGGCTTCAGGTTCCAGGCAGTTAAGCAATAAGCCACGTCTGGAGGTTTTGTTATTGTATAAGGTGGTGCCGGGGCCAGCCCCGCTGGGGATGTGCCTCGTGGACAGGGGATGGGGGAAGATCCCGTTTTTGCTCCTCTGCTCTCTCTCGCTGCTGGTTGAAGTCAATGGGCCTGATTCCTGCTCAGACCCCACCTCGGCCCTGCGGTGGGGTGGGAACAGGCCCTCAGCAGTCCCCCAGGCTGGTGTGGAAGGGGTAATAAGGGCCACAGTGGCTGGAGCGGAGCAGGGGCCTGGCCGGAGCACACTGCGCTGTGTGTGGCTATTCTCTGCCCCCCATGCCCCGTAGGGGGCGGATCAGGGGCGTGGCCAGAGCCACGCGTGGCGGTGATCCTCCATTCACGAGACAAGCGCTCCCCACCCCCTTGCCCTCCGCCGGGGAAAGATTCAGGGCTTGGCTACACTTGCGAGTTGCAGCGCATTAAAGCAGCCCCGGGCACCCTAGCCCACTCCCCGTCCACGCTGGCAAGGCACGTAGAGCGCTCTGACTCCGGGGCTACAGCGCTGCTGGTACTCCACCTCGGCGGGTGGAATAACGTTTGATGCGCCTTGGCTACGACGCACGGGTGTCAGTGTGGACGAGGTGTTGCATTACTGCGCTCTGATCGGCCTCCGGAAAGGTCCCATAATCCCCTTAAGGCAAGTGGCCACTCTTGTCATTGTTTTGGAATTGCTGCAGGAATGTGGAAATGCCCTTTGAAAGCTCCGTTTCTGACAGCCGGCTGCTTATCTGCTCGGAGACAAAGCACCCATTACTGTGGAATGCTGTGTGTGAGAGAGAGAAAGAGAGGCGGGGGGGGGAGGTCTGCTGCTGTCTGAACTTACAAGACCTGCTCTCAGCCCCCCACAAACCCACTCTCTCTCTCTTCCCCCCACATACACACAACACACTTCCTGTCACGTTCCACACACGCCCCCACTTGAAAAGCACGTTGCAGCCACTTGCATGCTGGGATAGCTACCACAATGCACTGCTCTCTGTGGCCATTGCAAGAGCTGCTAATGTGGCCACGCCAGCGCGCTTGCAGCTGTCCGCGTGGACAGACTGCAGCGCTTTCCCTACTGCGCTCTGCAAAGGCTGGTTTAACTCAAAGTGCTCTACACGTGCAAGTGTAGCCATGCCCTCGGAGTCCGTCTGGGTCACGCAGCGGACGTGTGGATGGGCTGGTCTACGTGAGAAAAGTACATCGAGCCAGCTGTGGCGCTCAGGGGTGTGAAAAATACACCCCCCCCCAAGTGATCTAGTTAAGCCGACCTAAGCCCTGGTGTAGACAGCGCTAAGAATTCCAGCGTCAATTGTGTCTACACGGCAGCGGCGCAGCTGTAGTGTTTCAGGTGCGGACGAGCCCTTCGGGGCAGCTGATGTCTAGATCATAGGGTAGGCGAGGTCTAGGATGCGTGTTGTGATTTATTTATTTTTTTTCTTTCTGTGTTTCCCCTTTGTTTCCAGTCCTTCTGCTGGCTGCCTGATCTTTGGTGAATAAACGGATCCTCGCTTTCTCTACAAGCAAATCTAAGTGCCGGGGGTGGAGCGGAGCCGTGGTCCAAGGCGGAACAGATACGCCGGGGGTGTCCTGCGCCTTGAGAGTTGGGAATTTGGTGAGTGGACCAGGAGCTGGGCGATGTAAGGAGGTGCCCGGAGGACTTGGGAGTGGGGGGCGGGGTTTGGCATTTGCCGACGGTGAACCCGCAAAGGGAGAGCAAAGCCGGAAGGCAGAGCTTGTGTGGCAGACGCTGGTAGTGGTGGAGGACTGACCTCAGCTTCCTCTTGGTGATGCCAGCGGGTAGCGAAGTGCCTTGCAAGCTCGGGTACCCCCAGGAAGCATCACCCACATCCCTACCCCAAGCTAACCCCCTGCTGAGGTTGGCACGGCCCTGGTACCTGCCCACACAGCTGCCAAGCTGGGGCGTTGCTTTAACCCTTCCCTTGCTCCAAATGCATTTTGCTTGCAACTGCTTCCCTGCTCTCCCCCTCCCCCCCCCCCCCGCCACTTTTGCTAGCAGCCTGAGACTGCGCGCGGCCGAACGGGCCTGCTAAGAGCGGCGTGGAAGACGGGCGAGGCTGGAAGCAGCATGGCAGGCTCTAGCGCCAGCCACCCAGGGCGCTTTGCCAAGGCGGCTAACCCAGACTCGGCACAGCGATAGCACGGTGCTGCTGCCCTCCTTTTACCGCTGGGGAAACTGAGGCAGGGTACATGGAAGGGACATGCCCAGGGTGTCAGTGGCGGAGCTGAGAATTGAACCTAGGAATCCAGATGATGAGGTTATCAGCTCTAACTACTAGGCCCCACTCCCTTCCCAGGCCTGGGAGTGCTGACACCCCATCCTATTCCCTTCCTACAACCGGGAACAGAACCCCCGTCCCCTCACTTGTCATCACGAAACCCCCCTCCCCTCCTGGAGTGGAGAAGAGAACCCAGGAGTCCTGGCTCCCAGCCCTCCTGCTCTAACCACTAGACCCCACTCCCCTCCCAAAGCTGGGGATAGAACCCAGGAGTCCTGTTCCCAGCCCCCCCGCTCTAACCACTAGACCCCACTCCCCTCCCAAAGCTGGGGATAGAACCCAGGAGTCCTGTTCCCAGCCCCCCTGCTCTAACCACTAGACCCCACTCCCCTCCCAGAGCTAGGGATAGAACCAAGGAGTTCTGGCTTTCAAGCCCTCTGCTCTAACCATTAGGACCCTCTCCCTTCTCAGAGTTGGGAATGGAACCCAGGAGTCCTGAACGCGCCTCACCCCCCCCCGTCCCCGCTCTAACTCCTTGCTCCCACTCACTGTCTCTGGAGCACTCCAGCTCTGTGTAGGTTCCCTAGGATCCGAGCCCCTCCACCCCGTACGTCCCTCTATTGCCTTTTCCAGCGGTGCCACCCCACTAATGCGCCCCCCCCCATGTGCCACTGCCCACAGATCCCGTGCCATGGGTGGCCGGGCTGAGCCCCTGAGCCCCCTGACGCGCTGGTACATCTACGCCATCCACGGCTACTTCTGCGAGGTGATGTTCACGGCCACCTGGGCCTTCGTGGCCGAGCGGGACTGGAAGTTCCAGGGCGTCACCAGCGTCTGGGCCCTGTTCATCTACGGCACGTCCAGCCTGGTGCTGGAGCGGATGTACCTGGTGCTGCGGGGTCGCTGCCCCCTGCTCAGCCGCTGCCTGTGTTACACCCTCTGGATCTACCTGTGGGAGTTCGCCACTGGCTACCTCCTGCGCCGGTTCGACGCCTGCCCCTGGGACTACAGCCACTTCCGCTACCACCTCATGGGGCTGGTGACGCTGGAGTACGCCCTCTTCTGGTTCCTGGGCTCCCTGGTGCTGGAGAAGCTGATCATCGGGAACACCCTGCGGCTGCGGCTGGAGGGGCCCAGCCCCGCGGCCGCCCCCGTCGGCCGCTTCGCACCCCGCAAGGACGCCTGAGCACGGCGCGGGCTGGGCCGCCCGCCCCTCTCCGGACTGTCCTGCTGCAGCTCCCGGAGCTGCGTGACGCTAGACATGGGGGCGGCTTTGCGCGGTGGGTGCCCCGGCGGAGCGGGGCGCAGCTCTGATCCTCCCGTCCTCACTCACTTCCCGCCCCCAAGACCCTCCCGCTGCCCGGAGGACTCCTGCTGCGTGGATCCATCCCCCAATGCCAATGCAGGGAGATTCCCCGGGGACTGGTCCACCAGGATGTACCCTGGGCCCTGTTCACAGCCCCCCACTCCTGCATCCCTGTGCTTGGCGGCAGGAATGGGGCGCAGGGGCCCCGGTCCCTGAGATCTGCCTGACGCAGTTCAGGAAGGCAGCAAACCGGTACCCGGGTATCAAAAGGGATGGAGCAACCTTGGGGCTGCTCTGAATGACTCTCTGCCCCCTATGGGCCCTGGGGGGCAGGGAATAGCCACAGCGCAGGGAGCTCTAGCCATGCCCCCCATCCGCCCCATACATGGTGGAGGACTGTGCTCCACACCAGGTGGGAAAACCCTCTTTAGGGGGTAGAAATCTCAGGGGGGGGGCTCTGTTCCCCCCAGGGCTGCATAAAGGACTCTTGGCCTAATTAATCTTTGCCACCCCCTCGGGCGGGAGCAGGAGGAAACTGCTCTTCTCAGGTGTTGCTGCTAGGGTGACCAGATGTCCCGATTTTATAGGGACAGTCCCAATTTTGGGGTCTTTTTCGTATATAGGCTCCTATTACCCTCCACCCCCGTGCCGATTTTTCACACTTGCTGTCTGGTCACTCTAGTCGCTGCTGGCAGCTGGGGTCCCCTTTTGCTGCTAGCCGTTTCTCATGATCATGGCTCTTTGGGGGCCAAAGCTACTCCCCAAAGCAGGGATCAGCCACGGTGCTATTCGCTCAGGTGCTGGGGACACAGCCTGTCATTAAAAAGTTCTTTTGTTTCTCTATTATTGCCGAGTGACCGATCCGTAATTAACGCGCTTCCTCAATCTTCTTCTGACCCTGGCCCCACCCTGAAAAACAATTCCTCCATGCGCCCCCCCCCCCATACACACACACACACACCACCCAGCAGCAGGCCCCGGGGCAGAGAGCACAGACTGGTAAGGAGCTCCCAAACAGGATCTGGAGCAGAGTGACAGGGTAAACAGGTGGTGGCAGTCCCACCCACCCAGTCACGGGAGGAATTCGTGGCTGGGAAGAACTGGGTGGATAAGAGAGACAAATGACCCCCTTTGAAGGCAGCCCAAGTTGGCAGGGAGGTGGGAAGCCAGCTAAGGGGAGCAGGGAGGGGCCCTGATCGGTTAGTTGTGTTATGGTGGCAGCTGGGGGCCCTGACGGAGAAGGGCACTCCATTGTGCCAGGTGCTGCCCGGACCCCGGCTGAAATCGGGGCCCCGTCGCGCCCGGCGCTGCCCGGACACACAGCGACCGAGATCGGGGCCCCGGCGTGCCCCGCGCTGCCCGGACACACAGCGACCGAGATCGGGGCCCCGGCGCGCCCGGCGCTGCCCAGACACACAGCGACCGAGATCAGGCCCACGTCGCGCTCGGCGCTGCCCGGACACACAGCAATCGAGATCGGGGCCCCGTCGCGCTCGGCGCTGCCCGGACCCTAACCAAGATCAGGGCCCCCCAGTGTGCCAGGTATGGTACAGAGCGAGAGACAGTGCCATCCCCACAGTGCTTCCAGATTCAAGAGACCAAGGCAGGGGTCCCATCCCCACAGCCCCTACTGGAGAAACCATGGCACAGAGAGATGCAAAGGTTACACAGGGAGACTGCAGCAGACCAGGGAATAAAAACCTCCCCTCCTGAGGCCCTGCCAGTGCTTTGCAGAGCGAGAAGGCCGCCCTGCCTCGGGGTAGGTCAAGGCTGGGACAGCTCGTGATCTGAGCCCCGATGACCCGGAGCTTTTGGGAGAGGGGTGAGGCTGGTTCTGGTAACCGCCCTTTTGCAATCCCCCAACCTATGTGGAATTTGTCCGGGTGGTTGCAGTGAACCAAGCCATGCCCACCGTGCAGGGCGCAGCCCATCGGGGGCGGCAGATGGCGCGAAGGCGGGCACACCTTCGACCCAGCCGAGCCCGGAAGCCATTGGGCAATAAGAGGATTTTGTCCTGAGTCGAACCTGCACAGCTCAAGCAAGGTATGGCAGGAATGAGCCCCCTCCAAGACGCTGTCACAGCTGGGAAAACTGAGGCACGGAGCCTATGTGTGATTTGGGTAGGCCGCCTACCCTGCCTCTTGCACCATCGCTACCCTCAGCCCCTTTGCCTGTACGGATGCAGCTGCTGAAGCCAGGGGATGGGACACTGGGCTCGATGGGCCCGTTGGGCTGACGCGGAGCAGGGGGGACGGGACACCGGGCTGGATGGGCCCGTTGGGCTGACGCGGAGCAAGGGGGACGGGACACTGGGCTCGATGGGCCCGTTGGTCTGATCCTCCTACTCCAATCCCACGGCCAGGAGCGTGGAGCAGGTTTTTGGAGAATTTTTCATGCCTGTCTGGGGCGCCCAGGTGCTGCCGTAATACACCTAATAAACATGAACTGTTCTTTCCTCTTTCACCCAATGATTATGTTTCATAATTTGTTTATGTGATGAGGCGGCCTGGCAGTTCAGCGGGGGAAAACAGGATGCGACAGCTTATAGGTGTCCGTGCCTGTACCCAGCCCTGGTATCTGAAATCAGCGTGAGTCACGGTGTACGTCCCTTTAATGATACTTTGTCCTTTCCGCGAGCCTGTCCCCTGAAGATCCCAAAGCCCTTTATGCCCATCCATTAATTTAATCCCGACAGCTCGGCCTGGGATGTTAGGTCAGAATTATTGACCCCATCCTACAGGTGGGGAAACTGAGGCATAGGGAGGTTCAGACCGTTGCGGAGCCAGGAATGGAACACAGGAGTCCTGATTTCCCATTCCCCTGCTGTCACCAGCTGAGCTGGTCCATGAAAGCTCCCCCGCCAAGCTGTGTGGAGAACAGGGCCCTCCACCACGCCCCGCTCCATAGACCCGATCTCACTCCACACCCCATTCAGAGACAGGGCAGCTCACCCCCTCCCCAGTGCAAAGTGATGTCTCCAGATCTGGCCTGTGGCCTCTCCGCTGAGACAGGACGGGGCTCCCCAAACACAGGTGCAAACACGCCTTTGCAGCGAGCTGGCGCACACGACCTGGCTTCGCAGGGACTGAAACGGCGGCCCTGGCGTATGGGGAGCGAACCGCTTTTAGGGCACAGGGGGCTCCCGCTCCGGCAGAGCCAGATAATGACTGAAGCCCAGCAACCGGTTGTGGAGCTAAATGCATGAGCAGCGCGGCCTACTGGGTGGAGCGGTAGCCAGGGTTCTAGTCCCAGTTTGCTCAGGCAAGGCCCCGTGCCTCAGTTTCCCCATCTGTAAAACAGGATTAATGACACTCCTCTGCAGAGGGCTTTGAGATCTAGCAGCGATAAAAGCTAGGGAGGATTAGTATTCTCAGCAGGGAGGGTAAGCTGCGATGGGGACAGCACCACGCTCTGTCGGAGGCGGGCAGGCGGGCGTGCGTGGGAATCATCGCATTTAAGACAAGAAGGGACCAATCGGCCTCCTTTATAGCGTGGGGCCTCTCGGTTCCCCCCACTGTCCCCTGTCGGGGGCCCAATAACTGGGGTTTGACTCAAGCATCTCTTCCAGAAACGCGTCCAGAATTGATTTGCCTCTCTGATTGCGTGTGTGTGCGCGTGTGGTTTTCTGTGTGTCTCTCTCTCTGTGCCGTGTTTGTGGTTGTGTGTGCATCTTTGTGAGTGTCTCTCTCTGTGTCCTTGTGTTTGTGGTTGTGTGTGCGTCTTTGTGTGTGTCTCTGTGAGTCCTTGTGGTTGTGTGTGCGTCTTTGTGTGTGTCTCTCTCTCTGAGTCCTTGTGTTTGTGGTTGTGTAATCATTTGTGTGTGTCTCTCTCTCTGTGAGTCCTTGTGTTTGTGGCTGTGTGTGCATCTTTGTGTGTGCGTGTGTGTCCTTGTATTTGTGGTTGTGTGTGCATCTTTGTGTGTGTGTCTCTCTCTGAGTCCTTGTGTTTGTGGTTGTGTATGCATTTTTGTGAGTCTCTCTCTCTCTCTCTCTTTCTCTTTGTGTCCTTGTGTTTGTGTATCTGTTTAGCTGGGTGTGTGTGTCTGGTTTTATGTGAGTCTCTCTTTCTTTGTGCCCTTGTGTTTCTGTTTGCATGGGTCTGTTTAGCTGGGCGTATGTGTGTGTGGTTTTGTGTCACTCTCGTTGTGCCCTTGTTTGTGTATCTGTGTGTGTGTGTGTGTCTGTTTAGCTGGAAGTGTGTGTGGCTTTGTGGCAGTGTCTCTGTGTGGGCGTAGATCTGGTTGTGTGTCGATCTGGGTGGATGCAGGGCTTGGTGTGAGTCTTGCTGCGTGTACCTCTGGGGCTCTCTGCATCTTGTACCTTCCTTGTGGCCGGAGCAGACGTTTGCCCAGTTGCCCAGACCCCCAGCTCCCTAACAGCCCAAGTGTCTCCATATTGCACACTGCTTTCCACCCTGGCAACATCAGGGAGAGACCCCAACCCCCCCTGCTCCCAACGCCCCCCCAGCAACCGGCGACTCGCCCAGCACCTGCTGGCAGGGTAGGGGCCTGTGACCCACAGACAACAGTCCCAATTCCATCCAGCAGGGGGCAGCAGCGTACCAATTAGCACTACGCTGTAGCCGGTTCAGCAGAATGTTTTTATCATACAGACGCCAGCTAATAGGGTGACCAGATGTCCCGATTTTATAGGGCCAGTCCTGATTTTGGGTCTTTTTCTTATATAGGCTCCTATTACCCCCCACCCCCTGTCCCGATTTTTCACACTTGCTGTCTGGTCACTGTAGCTGAGACATTAGGGGGTGGTCGGACCAGCCAGCCCACCCGTTCCTGCCTCTGGAGGGATCCATTCCCCAGCGACCGGCTCAGAAATCTCATGAGAACATAAGAACGGCCGTACCGGGTCAGACCAAAGGTCCATCTAGCCCAGGATCCTGTCTACCGACAGTGGCCAATGCCAAGTGCCCCAGAGGGAATGAACCTAACAGGCAATGATCAAGTGATCTCTCTCCTGCCATCCATCTCCACCCTCAGACAGACAGGCTAGGGACACCATTCCTTACCCATCCTGGCTAATAGCCATTAATGGACTTAACCTCCATGAATTTATCCAGTTCTCTTTTATACGCTGTTATAGTCCTAGCCTTCACAACCTCCTCAGGCAAGGAGTTCCACAAGTTGACTGTGCGCTGCGTGAAGAAGAACTTCCTTGTATTTGTTTTAAACCTGCTGCCTATTAATTTCATTTGGTGGCCCCTAGTTCTTGTATTATGGGAATAAGCAAATCACTTTTCCTTATCCACTTTCTCCACATCACTTATGATTTTATAGACCTCTATCATATCCCCCCTTAGTCTCCTCTTTTCCACTTTTCCCTCTGCCTGCTTGGGGCTAAGATTCGGCCGAGACGGGCCACTGTCTCCCCTTAGCTAAACCAGACGACTGCGCCAACCAGATCCCCATCCGGCGTAAACCGGCCTCGCTCCATTCGGGCGTCAGAGGGGCCAGATCCCCGGACGGCGTAAACCGGCCTCGCTCCATCTGGGCGTCAGAGGGACCAGATCCCTGGCTGGAGTAAAATGGCCTAACTCCTTTGGAGCCAATGGGCCAGAACCCCGGCTGGATAAATCAAAGTTGCTCCATTTAACTTAGTATTATTTCTTAGGTGTATTACAGTAGGCCTAGAAGCCGCAGCTGAAATCCAGGTCCCATTGTGCTGGGGCAGGGGACGCACAGCCACAGAGCGAGAGGCAGTCTCTGCCCCCGGAGAGCTTCCAGTCGAACTGCGGGGGAGGGGAAACTGAGGCACCGAGCGGCGACGCGACTTGTCACCCAGCCGTCCAGTGGAAAAGCTGGGAAGAGCCCCTAGGTCGGAGGAGTCCCAGCTCAGAGCCC